AACCTTTCCTCCACTCTTGAATGTTTGCTTAACTAAGTAACTAACTAATTAACTGAGTAAGTCTGCCAATTGTAAACTCAGTGTGTGGTTTTAACCTGACATTCAACCTGACACTTTGTTGAAATGATGCTGTAAAGTTATCAACAGAAAGTGCAAATGGTGAGCAAATTATTTGGTACAATACAAATCAAGAAAACAGAATTAATGGCATATTTTGTGCTTGTATTTTACCTTTTCTTTTATTTTCTCAATCTTCTTCTCCATCCTTATGCTGAAGACAGGATCCCCCCTCCCAATCTGCTTCTCTTCCTGCTTTTCAGCCTCCTTAAGCTTGCTCTCTGCATTGATGCTCTCAGAGTGGTACATGTGGTAGGTCTTCATCACCTGTTCGTGGAAGAAAAAAAAAAAACTGCTAAAACATGCAAAGAATATAACCATTACCCTTACCAATGTTTAGTTAAGAAAGAACAAAAATGGGTTTGAATGCAAAGCTTTGAGTGTCTATCGAGTTTTTGTTTTGCTGAAGGTAAAGAAATGTTCATTGTTGCTGTTCGTTGCTCATTTAACACATAATAAAATTTTATCTCAAACTTGAACCAACATAGACACCAATAAAACCATCCAAATTTAAAGTTCTGCCTTTAATGTAAAAAAGAAATACTGCTGAGTTTTTGCAGTGGGCTTTAAAATGAGACATAAAAGCATTTTTTCAAGCACATGCATTTAGATTTCCTTTAATTTCTACAAATGAAACAGATTTGATGACTTAGAGATTAGTGAGTTTGTGTTGGCCTTTATGTCTGCTGTATCTGTAACGTATGTTTTTTGAATGCATTTCTCACTATAATTCCAACACTGTGAGCTCATTGCCTCCTTGATGTGAGTTCATTGGGGCTTTTGTAAAAAAAAAAAAAGGGCATGAGTCATCACCCTAAGTAGTTTGTCATACTGCATACACAGATCAATAACCAACTGACTCACTTGTAAGTAGAAGGTAAAACCATAAAAAAAAAAAAAAAAAAATCAGTTGCTCAACGTAGCTAAAAAATCATAAAAGACTTTGAAGAAAAAAGGTTGCATAGAAGTTTCTGGGGCAACTCGAACTAAAAAAAACACTGTAAACAACAGCAGGTTCACAAATACCAGACAAGATTGGAGCAATATTTTTGGCAAAACTAAGCCTGACTAATGGCAACCTTTGTTTTAAAGAATCTGCATCTGCCGTAAAATATTTCAGAGTAGATCTGGCTCACCCAACTACACGAAGCCCCTATAATAGGCTAATTCTGGGAAGTAAATGATTTTGATTATATTAAAAAAAGGTTTCATAGATTTTCAGTTTTACAAATTTAAAAATTGGATACTAAAATGCTAAAAAGCCCTTTAGCCTGACACCCTTAAGCCTGGTTTATACACTACACACATTGAACTGTGAGAGGGTTGCCTGCCAATTTTGATGCAGTTGCATTGTCTCCCTCATCCACCCTGCATTTTACAGGAGCCGAATAGGATTAACTTTGAAAATTTACCCAACTCAAAACAAATCATGTTTTTTAATACTTTGCAGACACGTCCTATTCGGGTGTTTTTTTTAATCTTGTGGTTCAGCTCATTGTTGCTGGTTCACTAACTGGTGGAAGAACCCGTCTGTATGAAGGATCAACATCTGGAACTCTTTACTCTCTGGGCAAGCACAGAATACTGACTTGCATTGATTGAGATTAGTGCTTGCAGCCAGAGTTTTCTGAAAAAACAATCTAATTTAGTTTAGATGGAGGTTATCATACCTGGAAATTTTCCATTGTTTTGTTATTCATTTACAATGTCTTCATATTTCAAGGTAAATTCTGCCCTTTAAAATAGTTCAAAAAAGTTCTTATTTGAGGGTGTTTACCTGAAGTCTGTCCAGATTTAGAGAAAAAAATCCATCAATCAAATTTGAGAACACTGCATAGGTTTAAGAAAACAACAATAAAACACATGGAACCAGTTTGTAGAGAGATGCAGGGTTGAATGGATGTGAATTTATATCTTTCAGAATATTTCTTTAAATCCATTGAAATCTGCTTTTCCATCATGATGTTAATTAGTTTCTGCTTGATTATTATGCATCTTGTAGGATCATTCGTCGAAATGCATTACCAGCATTTTTTTTTTATTATTAATTTTGATTTTTAATAATGTTGTAAGTACATTTTGGTGTGGTTTCTTTCTTCAGCTAAATTTTTGTCAGTCCACAAAAAAACACCAAAAACTGGCAAATAAGTTGTCCTAAATGTTTCTCACCTTTATTTTAATATGTTTTAGTATTACTGTATCAGTATATCCCAGTTCATTAGATAAAAATCTTCTCATTGTCCCTTATACCCATTTCAAAACTAGAGGAAAAGGCTCCTTCCAGTTGGACCAAAAACTCTGGAATAATCTCCAGCTCTCGATACCTTCCCTTGATTCTGTGGATGCTTTTCAAGAGCAAACTCAAAACACATCTCTTTTGCACCGGTTTTTAACCACTCCAGAATGTTGGCTTCTTTAATTATGACTCTTAGATTAGGATGTTTTTTAATGTTGTATTTTCTAATCTGCATGTTTGTAAAGCACTTTGTGACCCTAATGTCTGTGAAAGGTGCTATATAAATAAACATTTACTTAATCACTATGTTTAGTATTATGCATTTATTTTAAAATTGGGTTTTGTCTGTTATGCATTTAAACTTTAATATTGTTAATGTTTTACAAAACACTCCACTCAATGGAGAGATTGTGAGATAGATTGGAAACACTTAAGTATATTATATTTGTTGATACTTAATACTTCTTCCTAGTTCCTGTTATATCCATCCATTCATTAATTTTTCTTTCTCCCACGGTCACAAGTACATCCATCCATCCATCCATCCATCCATCCATCCATCCATCCATCCATCCATCCATCCATCCATCCATCCATCCATCCATCCATCCATTAATTCTAATACTAATACCTAGAACCAACAGAGCGAGAATCACAATCTTCACAACAGCAAAGTTCCTGCTCCTTTCTTTTAGGAAATATTTTTTCCAACTCTCTCTAGTCTGGTGTTACTACTAATAATATATATACTTTTATTTTAGGGACAAATACAAAAATACACTGTAGCAGCAGATTCACCTGGACTGAACCTTGTCCATCAAATTATAACTTCACAACCTGTCTCTGAAACGAGCCTGAGGCTTTATCTGTTTCTCTTCCATCTCAGACTATAAACATCTTACACCCAAAAGTAGTTATATTTGGATGTGTGGAACAACACAGATATCCCTGATTTGTCGGGAGTTCCTCTCTAATGGTTGGGCTTTGACCTAACTGGATTCAATTTGGATATGGGTGACTGACCTCAGGCCCAGCACTCTTCACTTACTGGTCTGAAGTTGGCCACGGGTGTGTTTACTCTGCAGCTGTTTTTGGAGGGACATATTTAGAGCAGACCAGACCTGTTATTTCATTCTCAGAGGCCAACACAGGGACTGCCACTGTCTGATGCAATAGCCGCAGCGTGTGTGTATGTGTGTGAGTTCCCACTAGGGACTGAATCAGGTCAAATAAGCTGTGTGGACAGTGGTGAGAGTGACACAGTTAGAGTTCAGAACAAGACTTATGAAGCAACAGAGTTATGGACAGAGTTACAACCACCCTGGTCCTCTAAAGCAAAATTAAAAGCTTTTAATTCAATCACAGGAGGTGTGACACAACAGAAGCTGTGACTTAATTAATGTGCATCAATCGCTACCATGACGATCCACAGGGAAACTATTGATTATGAGTTAGAAACAGAGTGATTAACTTGCAACACAATACTATTCAAATTGACTGTTTTCCTAATACCGATATGCCAATATCAACAATGGCTTAAACCACAGATAATTTTATTAATAATGGTAAATAATGTAGAGGAACTTTCATCTGTTATTAACCAAAAAGTTAGTTTGCACTAAAGATAGATTCAATGTTTACTGAGATTTATCCAAAGTAAGAGATTTACACCACAAAATGCTACTTCTGCATTTTTTTTTATTCCCTTAAAAGGATAGCGGACATTACAAAGATGCAGAACTAGTCTAAAGGAAGGTCTTATCAGCTTTTTCAAATCAGGATTTATAATTTGTTTTATTTCACTCGTTTAACTTATATGTTATTTAACTCATAACTGAGATCTCTAAAGACTTGAAGGAAGATTTTTTTTATCAAAAAAAATATGGAGTTTAATCATTTGTTCAGTTATTTTAAAACAGAAGAAACTGTTGTTTATACTCAACAATATAATACACCAAAGCAATACAGGTTGAACAAGGAAGGTGATTTCAATACATTTTTCCTCAATGCAAATTATTATAAACATACAACATGCATCATCATGTCAATGTAAAGACTCTGGGACAATGGAAAAATAGCATCGTACAAACAGACTGACACGCCTCATAGGGATGTATACATTTTTATTCCAGCATGTAAATTTTTACTGAAATGATTATCTATCTTGGTGCAATTATATGATATGCACTGGTCTTTTTCAGTTGCTCAACTAAATGTTAATATAGTTACATTTAAACCCTAAATAAGCCGGAGACCCCTGGCTGGAAATCGAATCCGGTACCCTATTGCTGCAAGGCAGAAGTGTTTCCACTGCGCCAATAAGCAGCCATTCAGCAGAAGTTCATTTTGAATTCTTCAAAGTATCCATCTGGAAAGGCTGCTGTGGAAAGTATTAGCAAAAGGGACGGACATTCAGCACAATTCTTCAAGCTGATTGGATAGATCACCAAGTGGCACCTGCTTCCATGTCGAACCTTTAGCCAATCACAGCAAATTAGCAACTGTGACGCATCGCATTCTTCATTTGTTTCACAACTAGCTGAGTTAACTGATAAATCAAACTTTTACCAACTCCAGTCGGGAGGAACGCACAAACATCTTTCCTAGCCACAAAAGCAAAAATCAAACTCCTTTTGCTCGTTTTCCCAAAAATAAAAAGAGGATTTTCAAGCTAAAACTTGCACAGCCGTCTATGTTTTGCTTCAGCCCTCTCGATTGATGCAATGACATCTTATACTTCATTGCACTTAATTGGTCCGCAACATTTCTATATAGAGGCTAATGCTAATAATAATTTGCTTGCTTCTGGCATTATGCATTTTCAGGAGTTACCTGATACAGCTTTTGAGTATCAATACTTTTTGGGGTATTGATACCTTTGACGACCCTATTTGAAACTTTGATAAACAAAGCTGTACAAGGATCCCAGCTAATAAGGAGGATGGTAAACAAGCTTAAAAAGGGGTTAGGCAACTTATAGTAACTTATAATATATTGCCTTCAAGATAAGTGTATGGAATGGCTTTTAAAAAATCTACTATGCTCCATTTATAATTAACACTTTAAAGGCTTATTTTTCATCTTCTTAACTTAAAAACTTCTGATGTGAAAGCAACTTAATCATTTTGTTTAATCAGACACTTCTCAATCTTGCGAAAACAGTGTTCTTTTCCAATCAAAGGGACTCTCCAAAACCAACAATGCCCCAGGCCTCCAAACACCCCAGATCCCAATCTGGCTGAACATCCGGGGTAAAAAAAAAAAAAAAAAAAACTGCTGACGGAAGCCCAACCCCACAATTCATAGGTTTTATCTCCAGCAAGCATCAAATATCACCCCTTGGCCTACAGCAGAGATCCCGATGGGTCCAAGCTGCTCTGGTGACACACTGGGGACCTAAGATGTACTAAACTGGGTGGTTTATAAAATTTTCTTCATTACAATGTCTGCTACTACTGAATAAACACAACAAAAAGGAAACCTATAGAGCAAGCTGCTGTTTGGCTCAACACATTCCTCTGTGGGTTTACATGAGTTTTTTTCTCCTATGAGTTGGAGTAAATAGCTGATGAGGGCCATTAAAAACAAAACATGGGGTCTAATGAGTCAAGCGGGCACAGACTGGATAGAGCTGGAGGATTTAATAGCTGTTAAACTGCCTAATGGTTTTGTTGTAAGAATGAAGTACAGATTCTACAGCTATTTGTGTTGGAGATTGTGTATGTTGCTGAAAAAGCAATGATTTTAGATCTGTTACATATCAGTGTTACATTTATAGAACTGAAACACATCATGGATAGACCTTTTTGATTAGAGATATATAGATTATATATAGAGTTTAATGCCTTTATGCAGCCTCAACCACAGTCGAGATGAATGTAATTAGATGCATTAGTGGAAAAAAAGCAAATCATTACTACTTACTGTGTATAGCTCGTTTAGGACTTTCATTAAATCTTCTTGGAGCTGGAAAGCAATTTCCTTACTCTGCAAAAAAGAAAAAACAAAGTGAAAAACAGTTACACAATATATTTTTATATTACACAAAATAAATACAAAGACATTTTTTACAAACAAAACATTTCTGTCTGCAACACTAAACTGTACATTTTTATTACTATATTACTTCTTCTATTTCAGTCAAACTTTAATGTTCATTAAACCATTTTTAATATGAAACAAAGATAATAACACTAAAGAAAAAAGCATTTTTCAAATGAACAACTCTGCACATCCTCTTCATTAGGCTGTGTACTACAGAGCGTCTTCAGTCAGAGGCTTTTCTGAGCTAGCTGTAATACAGACCTCTACAGGAGATATTTCTTTATTCCAGCCAGAGAAAATTCATCTGATTAAACTGTCTCTGTAAAGTTGTGTGAGATGACATGTGTTGTGAATTGGCACTATAAAACTAAACTATATTTAATCTAATTTTACTTCCCTTTGGGATAAAGCACTTTAAAATTATGTTAAATGTGATTTATATTAAAGAGAAATAACAAAACACCATGAAATAACCATGATTATGTACATTTTGAAAATTGTTAATTTCAATTGAACCTCCCTGGCAACACAAAGTTAGATAAAAAGATCTTAAAAAGCAGCAAAATGATACAACACTGGGCCTTTTCTTAGGTAGCTGCTAGACTACATACCATCACCCCTTACAGCAAAGGCAAAAAGTTTTCTTTGTTTCTGGAATGCTTCGCACATTTCCAGATTTGTAAAACTAGCCCTTTTTATTTTTATATTTAGTTTTTACATCATTTTAAGAAATCTTAATCTGCAATTTAGTTAGATGTGAGATGTTTTCTACATCTCATACAGTTTTCACCTCATTTTAATCATTTGTGATTTGTATGTGTAGCTGTGTGGTTTAACTTGTCTTTTATGTTATCCTCACCAGGGGACAAATATTCTATTTTATTCTTAAAAAAATAAAAACAAAGAGAAATGTTCCTGACTTGTCTTACCTCAATTGAAGACACTACTACTACTACTACTACTACTTTAAACTCAGAAGATTGTAGATGGCTTTTCATATAATGTATGAAATCATTCTTCTTTTTTTTTTTTTTTACTTAATTCTTGACATCATTATCAGAACCATTTGGATGGTTTAAAATATTTACGAGTGACAAAAACCACCAGAAGAAATGTTAGAGGGCAATGTGATGGCCAATACTCCAGTAAAGTCGGCAACTCTCTTATACACTATTGATTTAAATACAATACTTATTTAGTTTTCATTGAAATGTTTATTGGTAGGTTTATACATTTTTTTTTTGTATTTCACATTTAGAGTTTTCTTTCTTTCCTTTTTTTTGTTGTTTAGTTTATTAACAAATTTAGGTGTACTGTAAATCCCTTTATTGTCCAACAATGGAGAAATTCACTTTCTGCATTTGGATCCATCTCCTTGGGGAGCTGTGGGCTGCCATTGTGTGGCACCCGGGGAGCAGCTGTGGTGTTTGGTGAAGTTAGTAATTGCATTTTGTTTAATTATCCCTATTGTGTGTTAATGGTCTGATCAGCCAGCATATATGCCCTTGTGTACCATGTCTTTGTGAGGTCATTTATGTCTTTGTTTGTGCAGCTGTTTTTTTTTTTTTTTTCAGCTCTGTTCCTTTGACATGCTTTTATGAGCTGAGTATTTTGTCATTTCCATTTGTGAGTAAAAATGAAAACCCTATTTTCCCCAAGAATTCCTGTGACTCCTGTTTTCAACTACATTCCCCGCAGGCATATACATTTACACAGCCCTGTGTATTGCACAAATGAGCAGATGTTGATTTTAGAGAGTAGGCTGGTTTAGCTGGTTTAAATAAAAACATGATACAACCTAACAGTATTGTTTTTTTTCTTTCTTTGAAATTTTCTCTGTAAATGTAATGTCAGCATCTTGCTCACTTTTCCACCAAGCAGCAGCTTGAGTTTCATTCCCCACATGCTCAACACATTACTTGGCTGCCTCTATGAAGACTTCTACCAAGATGTTAACTCAATCAGCCACGCCACAGGCCTGACTCAGTAACACAATCACATACATTGCCCACATTAATGCATCTAGCAGTTGAAGGAAACAGTTTAAACAGTGCCGGTGCATTGGACTTTGAGGGGGCTTTTCTATTAATCTAATTGTGGTACTTTCATATTTCCTAGACACTGACTCATACCGTGTATCACATGTCTATGAGTCATGACAATGAATTTTTGATTGCTCTACTGCAGTTGATAAACCACAGCCTGGATGTTACCTGGATGATATTACAGCCTTGGCCAACACTTCAGGTCTGCTTCTAACCCTGTTTTCCTCAGACAAATCATATTCTGTGAGCCGCTTTGAGCAAACGGCTCTGTGAAGGTTTTCTAGGGAGTAACATAAATACTACAGGTAAATAATTTGACCTCTGATCATAACATGGGGTAAGCTGGCTAAAAGTAATGGAGATGTGTGAGAAAGTATCTACAACCATTGCACTTTTCTTTGTTTTGCTACATTCATACTAAAAACTGAAAACTGGTATGTTTTTGTTTGAGTTAATCTAGACATAGAAAAAGTAGTGAGTACTTCTGCAGTTAATCACAGTTTACCGCAATTGCAGATTAAATCATTAACATTTACATATTAGGGATAGAACTAACGATTATTTTGCAAATGGATTAATCTGTTGAGTATTATTTCAATTAATCGATTGATAATTTCATAACCAAATGTTCCTTAAAAAGATTGTTTATGAAATTAAACCAGGTGAAACTAAAACTTTTCCACTTGAGGAGTTCTCGGTAAAACATATTGACTGACAAAGATTTTCTATCTTAAACGGCAAAATGTTTGTATTTTTTTTATTTTTTTTTACAATTTTAATCAAACTACTGTTCCAAATGGGTTCCTCTGACAGCTAAAAGCCTGTTTTACAGTCTCTACACTCCAATTAATGATGAATCGATTACTAAATTAGTTGGCAGTTTCAATAATCAATTAACCACGATTAATCTGATTGTTTCAGCCCTAGTTTATATATATATATATATATATATGAATTATTTAATGGTTCTTATTAGTCTATTTACTAATTAAATTACCCCTGAAGGCAAATAGCTGCATTTGAATTTTTTGAGGGGAGTAAATTGTAAATATTATATTCATTTTGTTTTTGCATGTGTTGTTTTATTATTAACGTAAATATATATGCAGTAACGTATATGTTTTTGCAAACTCACTAAATTTACACTCCAGGGGTTGGTCTTGAAAATGCAGAAGAAACATGCTGTCTCTTTTCACTGTATGTCCCTCAGAGGTGTACAAGTATGTGGACAGACAGCAAAGAGGATTAGATTCTCGTGTCTCAACTTAAGATAGTCTTGCTTGGAGACCTGGCTAATCTGTGACACCTACCTAACCAGCAGCTTGTGATCAAAGACACTTGATTTATAGTTGTTGCTTAATCATGGGGGGATGGTTCGTGGTAAACCAAATCTGGTGCAAGATCTCCTTTGTTATGTTTTTTTTTTTTTTCACATTTAGACATGTTAAAAACACTAACTTGAATTTACAAAATTGCATTGTGGTAACAGACCACTTAAAAATTGACATTCTTCTAAAGCAAAATAAAACACATTTATTACAAATAAAATGTTGAAAGTATGGAGTGCATACATATGCTGCATCACTCAAAAATACTTTTAGAACCACCTTTCTCTGGAATCTCAGCTCTAAGACTTTGGGGTTATTTCTCTCAGCATCTTTGGACATCTACAGAAGAAACTGATTTTTTCCCCCATTTAACTTTAATAAATATCTCAAGCTCATCTTATATCTCAAGTAATTTTTTTTATAATTTAGCTTTGCACTTTGACTGAGCTATTGTAACACATAACCCACTAGTTTCACTGTGGGTCTGGTTGTATGTTTCGGCTCTGGTCTCAAACCTTTGGTGTTGTCTGCTGTTTTCTTGAAGAATTGCCCGGTATCTTTTCCATTCATCTCCCCATTACCTCCACCCAGTCTCACTTTCCCTAAAACACATCCCAATAGCGTAAACCTGCCACCGTCATGTGTCACCATGGCAATGGATAATTCAAGGTTTTGCATACATGCAAACAAATGACTGACCAGAGCACCTTGTTGTGGATTCTTGCAGCTTATCCATAAAGACTAGCAACACAATTTCCCTGTCAACCGATTCTTCTACCTTTATTACCAAAGTGACTTTTAGGGGGGAGTAATTCCACTAGAATTTATTGGAGGGTATAAGATTAAAGACTTAGAATACTTATTCACGTCATAAAAACATCTTTGCTTTTATTTCCACTATTATTAACCAATGTGTCGCATAATATTCTAAAGAAATTCATTAGGGTTTAAGTATGCAATAAGAGAACATTTGAAAATGTGCAAGCGGTGTGACTACTTCTGACAGTTATTTGTATTGGTGGTATTTTAATTATCAAAACAGAGCTTTACACTGTAAATTCCACAATTTTAGGTATGCAGTGTCAAAGTACATTGACTATTTTGGAGTTATTACCCTGTTACTTTAACACTGCAACATGCACTGTGTATGAGACAAAATAAATGTGTGGGAAAAGTCTTAAGCAGCTGTAAGTTGAGAAGACAAAATCTTTGACTATCTGTCAGATCAAACGCACATCAGTTCTTTCCCATTTGGAAAGCTGGGATGCGATCCAGAGCTCAATGAAAAGCTTTCTCAGGGATCTCTTTAGCTGTGAGACTGTCTGTACCAGTAAGACATAAAGACAGACGACGCAATAAAGAACCAATATAGTCATAAAAACTTGGATAAAAAAATACCGTAACTGTTCCCAAGTTTGGAAGATGTAAGCATGACCGGGGTTTAAAAAATACGCAAACAGACACAACACATCTGCACAAGACTAAATAATATGTAAGAGCAAAGTTTACTCGTTTTAACAACCTTCTTTCTTGAAGAAGAAATACTGTTGCTAAATCTAACACACAAGCT